CTGATAGGGGCCACACCAGGCCGCTAAGGGGCCAGCCAACCCCATTTCTGATATCCTCCCTCCCCGCCCCGGCCAGAATGCAAAGCCAGGTCTTCAAATCCCTCCGAAAGGCCTGGAGTGAGGGGGCCTGTCTCACCTCCGGGGGCAATTTATGTCGGAGATTTAAAGACTGCCTGACTCTAAGGTGACTCTAGGCATCTTATATCAAATAAGGACATAAAACAGCAGCAGCAGCAACAAACACAACAAAGAAATCTCAGATATCCAGATAAGAACTCTCTCTTTAACAAGAAACATCACCCACAGGGCTCCACAAACAGCCTACCTCAAGATCTGGGAGAAAAGCCAAGTTTTTAAAACCTTTTGGATCATCATCAGGGTGGGATGAAGATCAGCTGTTTCTAAAATTTGTAACTTTTGAGTAGTAGACAAAATATTGTCATTTAATGCCCTTTTCTCCTCCACTACTATTATTAAAGTATGAAACTGCTTCTAACCTTGTATGTTTTATTCTAGGATTACAAGTGAAGTCATGTTTTTGCCTTCTTAGCAGTAATATAAAATGAAGCAAGATAATTTTTTAGCTGAGAAATAGGATGTGGCATTAACTCCTTGCAAAATATTGAACAATACAGTAGTGCCTTATAAATATTCCATGTTGCTAGGCTCATTAGGAATATTGAGGTTATGTCATTCACAATTGTTGAATAGTTATATATTGTATTAAAATCTCTTTTGCCCATACAATTTGGACTGGAGCAAGTAACGGTGTTTGAAATTTTAAAATTCTCACTGGAAACAAGTATTATTTCATCCCAAACCTACAGTTTATAGATAATTAAAGAGTATAATGAAAACATGCAACAAAATCAACAACTGTTGAATCTTTTGATCTTAAGTTGTTTTTAACTGAGTGGGACATTTTTTAATGTGTTGCACATCCCTAGAAGATATTTAGGAAGGGTTGGAAGTGAACAATGGTGGAAAGGGCACATATTTTGGACTTCCTCTGTGATTATCCCAGTATGGAGAGAATATGGTGAAACAGATCGGCTCCAGGCTGGCAAAGAAGTGAGACAAGGCTGCGTATTCTCCTCTTATTTATTCAACCTATATACTGAATATATATTAAAGGAAGCTGAATTAGAAGAAAAAGAGCATGGTTTTAACATTGGAGGAAGAAACATCAATAAACTGCACTATGGTGATGACACTTCCCTGATAGCCAAATATGCAAAGGATCTGCAAGTTCTAGTAATAAATGTCAAGAAGCAAAAATGGGACCAAGATTAAATTAAAGAAGATCAAACTAATGACAACAGCCTTAGAATTGACACTGAAGATATAGAAGTGGTGGATAGCTTTTGCCTTCTAGGATCAACCATCAACAGTAAAGGAATGAGGATTCAAGAAATATACTGCAGATTAGCATTTAGGAGAGCAGCCATGAAGGCCTTGGAAAAGATATTCAAATGCTGTGATGTCTCTATACCTACAAAAATCAGAATCATGCAAGCCATGGTATTCCCTGTGATGCTCTATGGAAGCAAAAGTTGGACTTTGAAGAAACAGGATAGGAAGAGTATTGACACTTTTGAACTGTGAGGTTGGAGAAGATTCCTGAAAATACCATGGACACCCAAGAAAACAAAGCAATGGATGGATCATCAAACAAATCAAGGCAGAGTTCTCACTCAAGGCATAAATGACTACAGTAGGCTCAAATTATCCTACTTTGGAGACATTATGCAAAGACTTCTTTGTAAATGGCCTAACAGTGGGAAACGGGGAAGGAAAGAGAAGATGATGGAGTCAAGTTACAGTGGAGATGGGTGCACCATTGGAAGACCTGAAAGACCAGATTAGGGATATATCGTCATGGAGAAAATCTATGCAGTTGCTAGGAGTTGAAAATGACAGCCAGCCAGCCAGCCAGCCAGCCAGTCAATCTGGTTGTCAATCAATTTTGGCTTAGTATTTCTAAGTTTGTTAATATGGGGAAAGTTTTAAAGATGTTAATGTGAAGTGTAATGTAATGTTAATGTAACACGAACTATAAAGATTTGGAATTTATTCATTTATGAAGAAGTCTGGATTTATTAAGCTTGGACTAGGGCTAAACAGGTGGATATAGTTCAGTGAAAAGCTGCCATACCTAATTTAAAATTTTGCCTTGATGAAATGTTGCATAGTCTCCACTTTTGAACTTTAGCAATATTCTGTGTGGTCATGGTTAATTCATTGTTGAAAAAGAAATGTATTTTTCTTAGGTATATTATATCTCTTATACATGTATATTATTTTCCTTTGTTAACTTTTTTCTATTTTCAATTTCTTTTTTCCCCATGTTTTGAAGCAAAATGACAATTTTTAAAACCCTAAAAATTATCCTTTTCATTGATAATCTATTGAATTTGCAATGTCCTCTTAGCCAAGTTCAGTAGGACTATGCCAGGCAAAAACTATTTTCATTCTCCCAGGCCTTTTGATAATGTGCTAAATGTTGCTTAAAAAAAAAAATTGCAGTTTTTACTTCAGTGACTGTTTTATTTTGTAAAACGTTTTAATATGTTTTAACCAATTGTTTAAACAATAAACCCCAGTTTCTTTTTAAATGGGAAGTGGTACCAAAATAATTTAATAACTTTGTCATATGGTGTAGTCAGTGGATTTTGCAGCATTTGGATATTATACAAAGAAGTTTTGGAAATTATTTTTTAGATGTTGAAGCTTTTCCAGCTTCTAAAATAATGTATCTTGATATATGCATGTGAGCTTAATCCCTCCCACTGATGAACTAA